ATTCATTCCTCCAGTCAGCTGGGCAGAAGAGAAGCCGTGAAGCCGCTGACTTTTTTTGGGAAATCCTGATGCAGCCCAGCCTCACCCAGACTCTGCCTCCAGCGGCCCCCGGGCAAATTGAGTTTGAGACCCCTGGCTTACACAGAGATGTCTCTCTAATTGTCCTATCTATCTCACCTGTGTCCCTTTTCCTTGATTTTTGGAAATGTTCTTGTTTATTTCATATTGCTATTAGTATTGTTAACCCAAGGACTACAGATTTACATACTGTCCCTTGTATTTTTTGGGTGAATTTTGTTACATTCAGATCATCAGCAACCAAGGAGCCTATAGTAGGCCCTAGTGACCTAGTGATTTCCCCATTTGCTGAAATTGCGGGAAAATGCGTTTTTCTTTCTAATACCATTTATATTGATACTGGTATTATTCTTATTGATATCATGATTATTTGTTATCAAAATATTAATAACATTAAAGACAATAAAATTATACAAATGAAGCCTTCCAAAAAACAAGGAAATGGGTAAACAAGTAAGATAGGTAGGACTAATAACTGAATCCTTGGTGACTAAACATTTGTAGAGCCATCTATGTGTAAAGACAATATATGAACTTATATTGCAGTGGGTACGATACTCCTTCTTGCCATCCACACCGACTGGGTTAACAACATTACAATAATAATAATGTCAATAACAATAATGGTATCAATATTGATAACATAAAAAAAATCTCAAGGATGGGGAAATCAGGCCTACAAACTGAATCTTTGGAGCCATCTATGTGTGAACACAATTATTAAATAAATGTTCCCAGTGGTATTTGGTTACATGAAAGATATACATGTGTTTAATATCCATATTCTGTAATACCTAATATTCACACAGCCTTTAAATAGTATATACATACCTGCAAAACTGGACACAAACATTCTATAACTCAACTCCCCCTGATCTTAGTGTTAATTGTCCCTTGTTCAAGATGGTGAAAAGTTGCAATCTGAAATCAGCCCTCACCATATCCAATCAACCCCTTGAAGACAGTTTTTTTTTTCAAATTAAACTGAAACTATTTCCTAACTCATTATCACAATTCCAGTCTTTCACATTCGATAACTTTCACTTGCTACCTCCTCAACTTACTAGGGGTGATGGGTGTTCCGAGATTAACCGAGGACATCTGTAACTCGACCATTCCTGCACCTAGAGACTGAAGCCGCTCCCAGAAGAAATGACTTCCCGCTGTCAGAACAACCTTATGAGCGTATATATGTGCTTGATCACACACCAATCTGACGTCCAGCATACTAGAATGTGCATAGAGGCGATGCAAGCTGTTAGCCAGAACTATGCTATGGCTACTCCACGACAGACGATCACCAACACCAGTCGCCATTGCTTCTCTGATGATCTGGTTCTCTGGTCTAGTTATTTATGCTACATTGTCTCTGTTCTGAAAAAAAAATCAGATGTGCCCCATACAATTACATGAAATCTATGATCTTAAGCTTAATTAATTAATTTCAAAAGTATATAGTTACTTTTTTACGAATATGTGATTGCAGAAATCCAAAACACAAATGTGATCCTTAGACAGACAGCCATTAAATTAAAACAGGGTGGATGGGTGGGTGGGTATTTATCTTACTGATAAATATTCAGAACAGGACCCTGCAAAGATAGACAAAAACTACGGCAATGCTGTTGAGACTGTAGAGTGTAAAGGTGAATCTGCAATCATAATCTAAGTCTGCAAATCTACACTCATGTAATTAAATCTAGCAATACTGTGGTCTCTACACTTCATTCTATCTTGCTATCCATAAGTGGGAGAGATTTGTTGCCCTTTGCCTGAACACACTGCATAGGCCCCTGTTTAACTTCATAATGATCCAATAATGAACACTTCCCCTTTAACATATTTACTAAGCAATATTTGTATGTTCAGTCTACAAGTACTATTGTATGTCATAAAAAAAAGATATTAGAATTCTGAACTATATTCATGATGACAATGTAGAAAAGGTATGAATGAGAATTAATATCTTCACAATATATGAGGTGTTTTTAACCCTGTTTCTAATATATCTTCATCATTAATCCATTCGCCCTCAATTTATGTTCTGTCCCCTGTAGTTTTTGGTGAATTTTGTTACATACAGATGGCTCCACATGTGCTCAGTAGGCCCTAGTTACCAATCCTAATTTTCCTATTACTTAAATTGGCGGGAAATTGTCTTTTTCTTATTAATACCATTGCTATCGATGTTATGATAATTAAATTGTTATTAATATATTTTAGACAATGAAATGATACAAAAGACCCTTTCCCAAAGTGAAGGAAAAGGGTAAACAGGTGAAATAGGTATTTCTGATAAATAGCTATTTGGAACTTGTAGAGCCATCTATGTGTAAATAAATAAACGTGTATTACAGTGGGCATGGCATGTATTCTTGCCACATGAAGCAAAAGGGTTAATACATATATTTCTGAAAAAAGATTTATTTGAAACTGGTTTAATACATCACTTGTATTGTGAAGATATTCAATCTAATGCATACATTTCCCATCTTAGAATTCATTGATCTACTAATTCCATTTCTTGTACTATACTGGGGTAAACATTCCGAACACCTTCGCACAGCCAATCATGATGATATTGGTATCAATGGATTTCTCCCTCTCTACTACCCATGTATATAAAATTATGCCACATAAATTCCCCTAATGCCCACAACCTTGGTGCCAGAAGCAGTAGAGGGCATAAATGGTACAAAAAAAAAAAAGGTGGTGCATGCGTGTACTCAGAAAAGGCAAGTGGGGGGGGAGGGGGACTTTAAAAGGAAAAGTAGGAGAAAGGAGAAAAGGAGAACTGCAGGGTGAATATGAATCATATACAGACAACTAGGCAATATATAGTCAAAAGCATGAGAATTGTGCCCCTGCAACCCTCCATGGGGGTAGCTGGCCCCTAACCCCTACCCTGGACAACAAAGAATCCACCATGTATGTACGGCAGGAGAGATCTCAGGATAGAGTCTGCATCATGCGCTTCGCTAGACTGGGGCATACGTGGAGGATTCTTCGTCTTCTAGAGCAGGAGTCTGGGAGAGGCAGTCCCCTGCATCAGACAATATAGACATGTATTTCATGTGTTGCTCATATTTTCCCCCATAATTTCCCTGGTGCTTTTCACACCTCCCCCTGCTATTAGGGCCAAGAATGTGGGGGAGTTCCACGTATATATAGGTAGTAGAGGGTTAGAGGAATTCATTGATGCCACTTTTCTCGTGATCTGTCATGCAGATTTATTCTAGGGAATTACCACTGGGACATACCCGTAATGGTACGCAAAATGCCCAATGGCCAGAGTATGACAGGACTGTGACACAGGCCACTACAAGGGTTGGCTATTACAATTACTGCGTTATCCATAAATTGGTGTGTTTTGGACAAGATGAATATTATTTCACAGAAATTACTTTTCGTTACAGCAAGTAATAAATCAGATGAAAATGAAAATTACTGAAAGACGTATAGGCTTATGCCATGTCACTTTGCTTGTATTCTAATCTCTAGGAACAATAATGGACATTAGAGACCTAAGACACCTATACACTCAGCAAGTAGAAGAAATCAAATGAATGGAAACGAGATGATACAGCTAGCTAAGTCGGGGGAAGAGGTTGAGAAGTACAGTCCATGGGCTAGTGGGAAAAATAAGGAAGTTTAAGGTACTAGAGGGGGGCGAAACCCCTTGCAGTGTTTTTTTATTTGTTTCTTGGTGTCTTGGGCACTGGTGGCAGGTATTTGTTTTATTGTTAGGTGGAGGAAGGCCTGCCTGGTGTTTGTTGGTGTTTGTTGCCCTTCTGGAGATCAACTGTTTGGCTTGTGGCATTATCCTTAATAAATAACTACATACACGTTCGTATGTAGGATGTGGTATTGATAACATACGTCGTATGTTTGGTGTACATTGTTTATAAGTTTTTTTTTTTTTTTTTTTTTTTTAATAATAATAATAATGATAATAATAATAATAATAATAATAATCCTACGGTTATCAGTCATCGCAAGCATTGTGATGGCAATGTTTGTAGTGGTTGGTCTCCTGGAGGATGAGAGATATCCTCCCCGAGGGGTTGGGATATCTCACTCTTAATTTTATTTATTTATGTATCCGTAAATATATGTATATATACATGCAATATATATATATATATATATATATATATATATATATATATATATATATATATATATATATTATTTTTTTTTTCTTTTTCTCCTGCAGTGATCAGACGCCACGAGCATTGTGGTGAGCAATGTCCGTGGTGGTTGATCTCCTGGAGGATGAGAGATATCCTCCCCGAGGGGTTGGGACATCTCACTCTTTTAGTGTTATTTATTTATTTATATACATATTTACACACGCATATACATACACACACACACATATATATGTATATGTACATACATACACACACACACACACACACACACACACACACACACACACACACACACACACACACACACACACACACACACACACACACACACACACACACATATTTATTTATTTATTTACTTATTCATTTATATATATATGGCATTTTATCAAGGAAATTTTATTTTTCATTGACTTCCTTACCCTTGATTCTTTTTCCTGAATTGGCTTCAGACATTGACAATGAAATTCAAGGGGAATTCAAAACTGTTTATTCTCTTTCAGTATTGTCGTTTTGTTCATATAAATTATTATTATATAAATTATGATGAAAATGACATTACACGACCTCTCCCTCTCTCTAAGATCCGCCCACAACCACCTGAACAGGGTTTTTTTTAGTTCCAGATAACTTAATTCCCTTCTTTCAATATCAAGAGAGATAAAAAGAGGGTCAAGGAAATATCTGCCATGATGAAAATGACATTACATGACCTCTCCCTCCCTCTTAAGCTCCGCCCACAATCAGCTGTTCGGGTTTGTTTTGGTTCCTCGTCACACGTGCTGTCTCTCTCCCCCCGACGACCTATGTGAGAAAATTTAGAAATTGAGGCATTTAGCTGTCATTGAGGTACGGGGTTTGGATTGTATTTTCAAGTTTAATAGGGAGTTGCTTTGTTTTATTCGTGTGGGTGTGTAGAAAGAGCTGGTTGGACGTTGTTTTTAAGAAAGGGAAGCTTCGGGGTTCCTTGAGATTTTTGCTTGAGGAACTTAATTTTTGAAGATTGATTATTATTGTATTCGTATTTATATTTTATTTCATTTGTATTTATATTTATAATTGTATTTGTATTTTTGTGTTTTTAGTAATGTGAATTAGTGGTGTGTATGTAAAAGGAGGCAAGGCAGAATAGCACTTAACATAATAAGTGTTCAGAATTAGTAGAGAAAACACACTTTTCTTCTATAACTCTAAGAAGAATAACAGTGCTATATGCCCCGGCAGGTTAGGAGTTTAAGATATACCAGGGAAATTGCGGTAAAAATATCAGAAAAATTTTATATTAATGATTAATTACACTCTCGTTATTCAGATATTGACACCCATATTATTTATATGCGTTCCCACCTCAACAGCTACAACCTTCTCTGTGGAGTAGTTATATAAAGGGTCTATTGAAACAAGTGCACTGCCAACCCTTACCAGTAAAATGAAGCAAAAGTTTCACTGTGTCTATTCTGGCAAAATAGTTTAGTGCTGTTTCCTTATGTTGTAACAAATCAGATTATTTTATATAGGTCAGGGGCCATAGATTGGATATGTTGGGAACCATTGGTCTACAAGTTTTATCTTGCTAGAATATACTACTGATATAAAATGCTACAATGTGTCAGTGCTGTAGTATCTTGGCACTTACAACTTTAAATATGTGTGCGTGTGTGTGCATGTTTTTGTCTGCTTTTAGTACACACTACAAACTACAAATGTCAGTTTCAATTGTGTGACACTTGGTAATATCAACCTTACTTTGTGTCCTTTTGCTCTCCCTCACTGGAATGACTGGCCATTTTGCAGCTGATTTGAAATGTTGAGGGCTTCAGGCTGGGTAATGACTATTTTCACTTTCAGCTGGTTCAGTCAACATAAAAATAAGACCTGCTGTGGTATTGTGTTGACCTTCTGTTTTTTGTATACTGAACACCTAGTACTGTGTGCATATCCTCTTGATACATGAAGTTTAGCAGCATTCTTGGCGTTTCTTCTTCTTCATTGTCTCAAGTTTCCTAATTATTCATCTATAAAATATGGTATAGAAGGAAAGTGTCATATTATAGATGATAAGCCATGATCGTCCCTCATTAAGATTAAGTATATCTTCAAGTATTACAAAAATAATTGTTTTGAGTATCCCATTCTTTTGAATATATTATGATGAGCATATTCATTTGAGATTGTCCTAATCCTCAATTAAGTACATCTGCAGATAAAAAAAGGGGAAATATATCCTTTTTTTTTATCTAAGATAGGATTGCAATGAAGCATTAAACAAGGTGCATGTATATTTGTCTTGAGTGCTGGTACTGTAATATTTATTGTCTTTATAAATGTCATAAATTATATTGTTGGTATCATCTCGGTGCTAATCATCTATACATTCTTCATATTTAGTCTTTTGAATTGCCCTGAAATAAATGGATTAATATCTCTCTCCCTCTCTACTTCAGCTGTAGGCAACAAAGAACACAATATCATGGGAAAAGTGAGACGCGTTCGACAGAAGTACCACTCCAGCCTTTCCAAGAATACCCAAAATGCAACAGGAAATGACGACACGGGCACAGATGTTCCAAAGCTGGTTCCCATCGCGAAGAAAAAAACAGATCAGACTGGAAAATCGAGGTTAATTGTGTGGTATAATTTTTTGAGTAACTTTAGTGTGAAAAGTGTAATAGTACCAAATTGTAAAATGTTCTTTGGTTAACTTGTGATGCATATTAGCCAGCTTCAAAGTTATGTCAATGTTATCATTATACAGTATATCAAGTAATTAAATTTTCATTTGCAAATTTTCCCTACCTGTTACTCACTTTATCTATCTCCTTTGTGTAGTGGGAACATATTTGCCGGCTTAGAGATCAACTTAGGGGGAGCCAAAAAGACCGCAACTAACAAAGATGAGGTGATGGACACCACGGCCTCAGATTCTGCAGACCAAAGGAACAAAGGCAAGAGGATCAAGAAGGGGAGGATAAAACAGCGTCATCAGGACCTATTCTCTTCCTCTCTACTTCAGCTGTAGGCAACAAAGAACACAATATCATGGGAAAAGTGAGACGCGTTCGACAGAAGTACCACTCCAGCCTTTCCAAGAATACCCAAAATGCAACAGGAAATGACGACACGGGCACAGATATTCCAAAGCTGGTTCCCATCGCGAAGAAAAAAGCAGATCAGACTGGAAAATCAAGGTTAATTGGGTGGTATAATTTTTGGAGTAACTTTAGTGTGAAAAGTGTAATAGTACCAAATTGTAAAATGTTCTTTGGTT